ATGGTGAGATGTAAAGTGCCTAACATCATTTGATTGAACGAATGTTCTGAATGAACCGCGTACTCCTCGCTACGTCGAGGTGATACTCGCTTCACTTCTCACTCGTTCACAAGCTGAAATCAAGCGAGCAACTATTCGAACTCCGGAGTAGGTTTGTGGTATCACGCGAAATTGAAGGAAAATCTTAGGTTTTGTCCCGAATCTAGATACTGTCGTCCATAAAAATCGCGAATTTTCCGCGATAGTAACTTGAAAACTGTGTGATCTATTGGTTCTGAGTCATTTGCTCCAATATTTGCGTCGATGCGGTGACCCTGTATCGAATAACGCATTGTTTTTCCTTTTTACTTTTTTTGAAAAGAAAAACCGCAGGAAATTCTGAGTTTCTTCCGCAATATTGCCGTGATTACCGCGTCATTTCTCATTCTTTGGAGTGAAAATATCTGAAAAATTCCACAGTCGCCACGATGATGAAATGCGATGTGCTTACCATCATTTGTTTGAACGAATGTGCTGGATGAATCGCGTATTCCTCCCCTACGTAGAGGTATAACCCGCTTAACTTCTCACTTGTTCACAAGCTGAAATCAAGCGAGCAACTATTCGAACTCTGGAGTATGTTTGTGGTATCACTCGAAATTGAAGGAAAAGTTTAGCTTTTACCTTTATCAAGTTGCTGTCGGTTACGATGGTTTTCCTCGCATCGATGAATCTAGCGATATCTCCGCGATGTTATGGCGAAAATCTTTGTTTATTGTGTTCTTAATCAACCGCTAGACATTTTTGCATGTGCTGATTGTTGGCGTGAATCATGCGTTTTGTTAATGGGATTTTCAAGTTAGGTGGAAAAATCACGTATTTGCTGAAATATGCCACTGATTATCGCGACGAGTTGTATCCCAAGACAAATCCCTGTTGCTTACACCCACAATCTGAACCCTTCGACTGCACGCCCCGTAATGCAATGGACATTATGGAGATGTTGCATGTGTGAGGGATTTGCGATTTGACTATCGATTCATGTGTAAAAGTTCGCTAGAAACACGATGGTGCCACTGGTTTTCTCTGAAATCATATCCCAAGCTCAAAAAAAGCTCTCAAGTTGAGGCCAAAATGGAGGGAATATATCCCACGCTATCCTGAAAGTCCACCTCTACATCAAAACAAACTCTCCATGCAAAGATAGGGAGGAAATACATTAGCCAGGGATGCCATGTTTTCAGTCATAGAGTCCCCAATTAAAGTGGCAGCCCTGTCAATGTATTTGCTCTCTATCTTTGCATGGTGAGTTTGTCTTGATGTAGAGGTGGACTCTCAGGATAGCGTGGGATATCCCCTCCAGTTTGGCCTCAACTTGAGAGCTTTTTTGAGCTTGGGAGTTGATTTCAGAGAAAACTAGTGGCATCATCGTGTTCCTCGCGAACTTTTACATAAGAATCAACAGTTAAATCGCAAATTCCTCACACATGCAACATCTCCATTATTAGTACAGGACAAATAGCAGTATTTGATAAGGTACTGGAACCCATAGAGTACAGAGTCGTAATGTAAGTGGAAGTGGGAGAGTTTGCGCCTTATTTAAGCATTTTTCAGGTCACTAATTGTACGACTCCTGTGTGACGCCGGGCCACTTTTTCAATACCTACATGATCGATTGTTTTCGATACGCGGGTAGCCGGCCATCCGATGTAAACAATGAAGTTAGGAATTATTAGAGTCCTTTTATACTGGGAGTCAAGACAATGTGAATCCATGTCTGATTGGTTCCCGTATTGTAGGCCTTCACAGTGTCACAAACGGGAATAAAGATTACATTTCCACCGATTGCAAAGATTATAATCTGGAATGGACCAGGGAATTACGGGTTCTGTAAGGAACAAACGGAATGAGAGAAGGAACGGAGAAAGGAATTTGAGAATGGGCCGATCAAAGATTACGAAAAACGTTCAATTTCTGTAATCTTTATTCCCCTTTGTGATCCATGAGGGGGTGTCGTCTTGACTCTCAGTATGGAGGGAATCTAGGAATTACCACGTATATTCCACACCACCATTTTGGATCGAAAATGTGTCGAAAAAGTGACCGAAGCTCGGCGCACACCGAGCTCGGAACTCGCCGAAATGAGAAAATGGCGCCAGCTCTCCCATTTACACTACGACT